ATCCAAATGGTCGCTCCTGACAACAATAACACCGTAGGCCCCTGTCATCGTCGCTGATCTTCTTTTCGTTCGGATGAACTGGCGTCCAGCACATCCTGAGTTCCAGGTCTCCATCACAGAGACTCTTGAGCTAGTGGCAATGTGCCTTGGTAGACATGCTCGTACACCAGCGCAGATGATGCTGCAAGACGGACACCCAGCTGCGGCCCTCTTTTCGATATCCGTGACAAGAGAGAAAAACCCCTCGTCCATACCTCCACAGGTCATGCAATTCCCAGTCTTGGGGTCACGGTGTATTTCAGCTTTTCGCACCCCTATCTTGGCGAAGAACGTGTCGCATTTCTTCGCCAAGTTAACGGCGACAGTGCCAGCTCGGATGAATGGGTTATCTGATTTCCTATTAAAGAAAGAATCGTCCGAGTCACTGTCAGAATCGGCTTGTTGTTGATATTGCAGCCAATCGTTCTCCTCGCGGCTGACATTGTCATCATTAGTGTCGACTTGCAGTGTTAATCCCATTTTCAATCGATGTTGTGTCCAGGTGAGTGAAGGAATAGGATGGGGCTGATGTGCTGAAGATTGTGTGAGAAACACTTCTATTGATATGTACGGCCGACATAGAGCATTGTGATAGTGGCAGCCGAGTGCGAGAAGCTTTCTTTCCATGTCGTAGGACAGAACTTCGCGGGATATAGCGCCAAGACATCAGGCGCGCGCTTCGCCCCTGGAATGGCGGTGGCTGAGCGCAAAATAGAAAAGCTGAGATGGCGATCACTGATAATGTCGGTCGCTTCATGGGCCTCAAGTTCAGCTGGAAGGACTCAGGCGAATCAGCAACAGCCACCTTTCACAGACGACTAGCGATTCATGACACAAGCGCGCAGTCAAGAGTCAATTTGACCTGGTTCTTGTGTACCACATCCTTTCTGACTGAGGTTCTCGAGGAAGCTTATTCCAGCACGACGATCTAAATTGACAGTGCAACTGACGATAACCACCCAGCGAAGGGTCAAGCGCTTCGTCCAAGGCTCGTTCAGCGCGAAGCAATCAAAATTGTAATTTCCCTACATCCAGGTGGGATCACGTTTGCTATCAAAAAATACCTCATAAACGGAAACATAACACTAAGCAGTCGTCAGTAAATTTTACCCTCAGAAAGGACATCGAGATGCTCTGCCTTTATTTATGTATCAATGATGAGTCCTCGTCGATATCGCTAAGGATATGGTATGTAGGTAGCTTCAACTTGGACACCGCGAGGGGCGAACAAGGGCCAGCCACAATGGGCGCATGTTCCGCTCATGAGCAAGAAAAGATAACCATAGGTGACAAAGTAAGTAATCGAGAGGTAAAAACAAAGTCTTACTGAGCCCATCAAAGGCTTGACGTCGGACAAACTCCATCATGCTACTCTCAAGAAGCAGCAACCAAGCACGTGCGGTCGGTGGAATTACGAGTGAGCAGGTCGGTACTTTCTTGACTCCGGGCCTATTATCTACCGTCGACTGTTGGACGAAGGTCCCAGACCGATCATCCACAATTCTTTTGGGGCTGTTACCCACTTCGCGCTCCACATGTACCCATTCGCGAGCTTGTTGAACCTTGAGACCTACGACCGCCCGCGTGGCCTTGACCTGACTGAGTGCATGAGAAGACTTTGATGCGTGTTGCAACTTGCGACTCCTATTGTGAAGGTGCGATAGTCTCGAATTCGCCCGCGGCAGGAAGGAATCCAGAATCGGAATGTCGCGTCTGATCGTCTCGTCACCCCATGGGGCATGGAGAGTTCGATCCGGTAGTCTCAAGTTGCGACTTTGAATGCAACGACATGGTACTTCAACCAGGTTCAGACATGCCAGTAATACCCAGAAAACACGTGCTGTCAATTATATCATGCTCACTCGGCACTATAACAGACGCTATTTTAATATGCAAAATTCTCAGGCATGGTTGCAGCGTTGGTCGACGGACGAGTCAGTGTCACCACCTCGGTTTACCTATCCGGCTAGCAGCGCAACCTTGTGCTTCCTGAGTCGGTCCACGCGATAGGCTTTGACCAGGGGTTCGTTTCGAGGAGATGGAGAACGCGTCCTAAAGGAGACCCCTCGTCGGGAGCGAGTCATCTTCCCACGCAATAAGACAGCATATTCTGTGTAGATATCCGCATCAGATGGCGAACTGGAAAAGAAACCATCAACAGAGCCTCCCCACACGGGGCTGAGATTCCCTGCACTGCATCTGCAGCTTCCGGCGGCGGGGGGGGGGGGGGGGGTGCACGGAATTGCGAGACGGGGAGACGGCTGGGTGCGCATCAAAAACGTGGTGTCCCCTCGTCTGAGCTGAACGAAATCTCAAGAGACCGAAGAAGCTCGGTCCTTTGCGCTTTGGTTTCTTGCGGAATCGCCATGTACGGATGACGTCGCGGCGCAAGTGACCGTCGTGATGGTATTTCAACTACCGGCCGCTGTCGATGCCGAAGCTGTCGCGGTGATATGCTACTCCTTCATCTGCTTCTTCTCCAATATCCTACTGGGATGGCTGCTTTGGACGCACAATGACCGGACAAGTTGTAGGTTGCGGACCATCTTCTCTCTCCAGTGAATTCTCTTCCAGGATTACCTGGCGGCCAGTCGCAAATCATCTTACACATTCTTCTTAGATATTGCCTGCATCTCCTACGCTACTCTCATTATCACGACGACGAGTATTTGCCAGCAGTTCTACGACTACGCCTACTGGCGAGACATTTTGACAGAACAATTCTACTATGCGAGACAAAACGCCGATAATGCGGAGGTGCAATACCACAAGGGCTCCCAGGGCATCAAGCTCGTCCTCAGCTACGTTCGTACGTGCATGCTCTTTTTGTCGGGGGTTTCCTTAAGATAGCCCAAGAGCGACCTATCGGCCTTGGTGACTGGCGCCGCTGACTTGATTGACCGGAACAACAGGCATCTTTGGATTCACCATTGCATCAACATTTGTCTTTTTCTTGTAAGCCAGATGCCAAAGAGAAACTCTCCCCCCCTCCCCAAACAACAACAAGAGGTATTGCGTTTCTAACACGAAGAAAGTGCCTTATCCTTGGCCGCTAGTGTCTACGGATGGTTCGCGACAACGCCGAGGACAACACACACCATTTCCATTGTCGGAAGAGTCTTGCCCATCATTCTCACCAGTATCACCGTCGGCCTGATGCACTCTCCGCCGGCCCAGAAGTCGTTCCTGGTGTACATGTTTGTTGCCAATACACAATTTGTCCTGAGCCTTTTTGGAAGCGCTGTACTGTTGCTCATGATCCTTTTGAAATACGTCCACTCGCGGCGGAACCTCACAAGTTGGAACGTGCTCTACGGGAACCCGGACATGAACTCTTCGCTACCGGGCAGCAATAACGGCGGTGGCAGCGTCAAGGCACGGTCCGTCTGGCTGGGCAGTGGCTCAAGCCGCGGTGGACGAAGTCGAGCGTACAGCGGTGCTGGCACCAATAACACATATGACAGTTGGTTGGTGATCCGACTGTCGATCGCCTTCGCAGTGCTCTGGTCAGTCACACCACGTCCGACCGGAAGGCTGCGCACACGAATGTTCTAACCTCACGCTGGGACGAATGCTAACAGTTGGAAATGTATATGCAGTGTGTTTGAGTACACAAACGTGATACCGCGCATCGCCGCGGCAAGCCACACCATCGACACCGCCGACAACTTGGAGCCCGACCTCAGCGTGAGACGAGCACGTTCCAGTATCAGAGGATACGTTGCCGGCGTGACACCAAGCCTGGTCGCCTTTCTCGTCTTCGGGACGACCAAGACGTTTCAATGCAAGATTCACGACACCTTTATGCCAAAGGGATTCTCGAGGCGGAATAGGCAGACACGGAACCTGTCCCTCTCTTTGAGAGACTCGGCCGCCGCGTCCCCGCCCCATCCACCAGCTCGGCGCCCGCAGCAAGTAGACGAGTTCTCCCTCGCCGATATGAGCCCAAAGTTCCTGCAAAGCGGCACCTACAGCCCCCAATTTCCGTCTGGTGGCAACGTTAGTCCTAGGCTACCGTACGGATACCATGCAAGCCCTGGATCGAGTCTCGGCACGCCGAGGGGTGTGCTCCCGCCTAAGGCTCACATCAACCATGCTGGACAATTTCTGAGCCAGGGGGTCGGCGCCCCCAATCCGCGGACACATAGCGCTAGTTCCAGTCCGAGTCTACAGTCCAAGTTTTCAGTATACGGGCAGCCTGAGGCACGGATCAAGGCTCTTCGTCAGACACCATACAAATAGGAGCTGGCTGCAGAGCTGGAGGGGCGGAGGGCGGTCAATTTTCTTCAAGCTTTGTAGGCAGTGCGATGGAGTTACGGGCGTTGGGATGGGGACAATATCACGCAGATACCAGGCAAGGCTCTGATGGCTGAACATCAGTAGCAAAGCAATTCATTTCTCCCGCTTTATGACCGCGTGTCCCTCATTGTAGATTTCTTCCAGTCACGGAGCGCGCAAGGTATTTAATGAACCATAAAATGTCTAACGTAGTCTGGTGGACCATCAAGCTGGCTTGAGACAAAGAGTCACCCAGATAGTGGTGGTACGAGGAGAGATATGGGATGGACTATACGTTGTGGCAACTCTCTATTAGCGCTGTGGTGCTAAAGTTGAGTATGCCTTCCAAGTCCCGGGACTCTGGCTCGAGGGTTGATGGGACCTCAGTTTCGTTGACAAGTTCTCCCTCTACTAGGTTTATACACCTAATCACAGGTAGGAATACAACCGTGAGACACTTCACTTAGGACAAGGTGAGATAGTGAATGCAATTTAAGTCTTTACTTGAGCCTTTGAGCTAGATTCAACGCCCTGACCTGTTCACGCCGAACCTAATACCATACATGTTCCGACTACATTTTACTGCTGCCTCTGTCGCCCCATATTATGTTTGGCATGAATTAAATTCTCAATCATGACACCCAGCATCTACATAGAATCCTGCAGACATCGTTGCCCATCAATCAGTCGCAGTCGTCACAGAACGCGAGGCAGGCAAACTGGCAGCTGGCCCGTTGCAGAGACTCCTGTCTGCCGGGCCCATTGTAGGCTTCACTTTCGTTAGAAACACGCATGTCTCAAGTGTGTCTCTTAGAAAAAAGACTCACTATCGTGGCACTCGACAACGCAGTTATTGCAGGTTCCCTGGAACGGTGCTCCCGTGCAGGCAGCGATGACCGTGGGGGCCACCATGGCCGTGACGAAGAGGAGAGACTTGGTGAAGAGCATTGTTGGTGGTGACTCGATACTTGGGGAGTTCTAAAGAGAGATGAGTGCGTTGAGTCTGGTGTTGTTATAATGACGGAGTGTAGCGGAACTGAACCTCATACTTATACTTGCTCTGCCCATCGATTCTTCACATCGGTTATTCGAAGCCTAGCGAAAAGATCAGTCACATCACAATCAGTCCACAAGTTCGAGGTCTGGCGAAAATTCCTCACCTCCGAGTCAAAGGAATACGCATATCTCTTGGCACGCTCACAAGTGCTCCCAAATTGGCCGTCTCTTGGCGCAAGAGACACAGTCATCCCATAGTTCTGCAAATCTCTACTGTATTCAATCTCATAATATTTCCGACCCACTCCTTCAGCCTCGCGATGCCCACGCATCACAACTGATCATCAGATAAGATCACTACCCCGGCACTTCCCAACTCGCGACCCGGTACTTCATGTCCAAGCCGCCCAATTAACAGAGTCTATCGTGGACGAGAACTTTGCCGCCTAGCTGCGTGTCATGTGGGTGGTCTTGGCGGCCGACCATAGATACCTAGTTGCTATCCACTCTACCACTGCGAGCTAGACAAAAGATCAATCCTTCGACTTCAGCTGTACAAAAGGTCCAACTCAAACCTTTCGCCAAGAGAGACTACGTCCAAAGTTCCTTGGAGGACGAGATAGCCTGTTCTTAGAACCCAAATGGATTCATAGCTACGATGACAACATCGATTTCTAGGTCTGAACCATTCACAGTTCTGACATGAGTGGGAAACAGCGTGGTTCTCTTTGGAAGACTAGAAGTGATGCCTAGCGTGGAGTCAGTCCTCAACCGTATACCAAGCAGCGTCCATACGTAATGTCCAACTATTATCATCATCGTCACTGAGTTGGTGAAACGGATTCAAACGACAAGAAATGCCAGACCTGGAAGCAAACATTCAGCTCTCCATCTCTCTTAGATCAGCAGTCAGCAACGATAATCAGACATCCTCCATCTTCGTCAGACCACTATCATAATTCACCAACCAGTCCCCAGCAAAGTCCAGCTCGGGCAGCTTAATCTCCGGATTCCTCCTGTTAATACCCCTCGCGAACAGCACCCTCGCATACACCGGATCAAACACAAACACCGTCTCCCCCGTCAAGCTATTCCTCACTTCCGCCGTCGCTTCCATCTCGTCAATAGCAATGACCTCCTCCGGCCCTACCATCACAGTCGCCCGCTCGATTTGCATTTTTATGTGCTCCGCGACGCTGGCTTCGAACCGGGTGTCGATGAAGTGCAAGCTGTTCTTGCCCGCCGCCGCGACGTAGGGGGTATCCGGCGCCACGATCTGCGGGCCGTGCCAGGTTTCGATGAAGTTTGGAATGTAGGTGCCGCGGTATTCGTCTTGGAAGGTTGGAGTGCCCTCGCATGGTCGGAAGGGGCTGAAGATCATGGTTATGAGAGGTGCGCAGAGCATACTCGGTTGATATGGGGTTTTCCGTGAGATTTTGGGTTTCGGGGCTTGGACGATATCAGAGAATGCGTGATATTCTTAAATATTGTCAGGCTGTATGCCGACTATCTTACATAGGAAATGGCGCATCGTTGTACGGCGAGGTCGGAAGATGGGCCGAATACGAAAGGTCAGTCGCTTCCCATCAGCCAACAACCAACAGCCAACGACCAACACACGTCTTCGGATGAAGCGGCAAAGCTAGCGCCTTTCCACCAACCTCCTTCCGTCTTGGGCCACCTACTCTGATCTGCCTCTGGCAAGACTCTGAGATTGTTGGAGTCTTTAGAGGACGTAGGGACACCAGATGACTTTGGACGGTGGTGAGTGAGAACGTGTGTCAACAGATGTCTCTCGCTGACACCGCCCGGAGGATATGGGGCGTGGCTTTTCAGCCTTGGTCAGAGTGAGAACATCATCGAGATCACACTTGACGGCGACCTGAACCACCGACGACTCCACAGCGCGCAGGTATTCATGGCCGGTGACAGAGGACCGGGAGGTCACTTGATTTCCGTCTCGGAGCTCACGTCGATGACTGCGGAGGGTCCTGCTAATTTATTACCGACCTTATGGTCAAGGATGTACGAATCTGTGCGTCCGTCGCATGCAATTCGGCCGCTGCGGAAGTGAGTCGTGGCGGTGGGGAACGACGGGAGTCGTCTGTGTCGTCGGACTTTAAGCCCCCAACTGCACGATTGGAAAGTAGAAAGCAACAATAGGATATTAACGACTGTCTGAAACATTACAATACTGAATCAATGTCCTCGGAAATAGCAGTCGGACTCGTTCGTGGGATGTTTCTCGGTCCAAATGCGTAGGGGATCAGACGGATCCGACACGGCGTCGTGGTGGCCTCTTTCGCCAGACCAAGTCCACAATTGCCTGCGTAATTATGACAGTGGCTGAAAGGTAGAATAAAGGACTAAGTCTAGGTCCCAAGATCTAGGAATATTCAAGCAAAGATCCTCGAGATATCGCAGAGTCTCCGGCCTGGGCGGCGTGCACCTCTCGGCCCAAGCCAGCAAACCGAACGAATGCGATATGGACGGGAAAGTAGCGGCCTGCTTCGTCGGACGGCCCCTACATGGCTGTAGTGGCGCCTCACTTTATTTTTGAATTGCGATCGTATCACCTGTCGCTCACCTTGAAGTGGCTGCTTTAACCCGCAGACTTTACAACTGGGGTGAGGGTGAGCAGGGTGAGCAGGGTGAGCAGGGTGAGCAGGGTGAGCAGGGTGAGCAGGGTGAGCAGGGTGGAAGTGGGGTTGAAGAGTTCCCTTTCGGCCCAATACGAAGGCAGAAGATACTGAATTCAGAAAGGCGCCCTAAACAGTACATTAAAGTTGACCGTCAAATCACTTCATTAACTCATGAGAGATAGCACCTAGTATTCAGCCTAGCTATGTCTAAGTTTTATACCAACTCGATTCAGCTTCTCGTTGCATCTGTAATAAAGATACTGGATGAACAACCTCCGAGGGCAAGTCCAGGAGCTCGATGGCATGAGCATGAGAGTCGATGCTTGTAGTAATGAGAGGCTCTGGAATGACTTTGAGGTCATGCCTAGTATTTTGATCGGCAACCCTCTGCCAATTGCGTATCACGCTAGGTGTCAGCTTCCAATCCCATGTTCCTTGCCACCCAATACAAGTATAACTAGACTTTGCGTGGTAGAAGAACTTAAAAGCTTCACCCTTACGACCATTCCATAGTACCATTGTATGTAGGTGTGGAATTGAAAGTGCAGTTGTAGCAGCATTTCTTAAGAGATTCTCTATCCTGAGATTCTCTGTTTGGGTAAGTATCCTTGATGTAAGAGTCAGGAATCTCATGTGGCTCCAAACCCAGTCTTTTTGACGTGACTGGAAGAAGTCCGAAGCTTCAATCAAAAACGTAACGGAGAGCTGCTCGAGACTAAGACTCCTCTTGGCAAAAGCAGCACTGACCGTCGGTGATGTGATCCGGATTATATCAGGTGCAGTGATTGGTGAGATAGGTCGAAACGAGGTAATATATTCTTCATTAGTCTCTTCAAACACTGATATTTTCTTCAGTGCTTTTGGTAAGTGGGATTCGATAAGCCTTAGGTATTCTGTAGCGCGAGTCGTTAGTAGGTATAATATATATAGTCAAATACTATATCTTACCGGAATCCCAAATAAGATCTTGTGCCATCTTATCCAAACTTTGCCATGGCTCATAGATTAATGATTGTAATCGAGGAAGTTTATCGAATAGAAACCCTAGCACTCGAGGTTCAATCCATCTTCGACATTGTCGGCGAAGTACAAATCGTGTTATCGCTTTGACTTGAGGGAGGCCTTCCTTGAATGTGAGATGGAGAGGCTGAAATATTCGTGAAAAAGAATTTCCATTGGGGGCATCGACCTGACGTCCATTCATCCAGCCATGTTGAGAGTCGTGAAATGAATGCTTTGAGTCGAGGTGGGGTAACCGATGACCAGGCCGGTCGAATTTCAAATCCTCATCCTCGCCAACACCTCCAAAATAGAGGTTCTTAAAGCAATGCTCCTTATCGCTAGGAGACTGGAAGCTCAACTCCAGTGTCAGCTCGGCTCCCTCTACCACTGGCCATTGAGACAAGATCGAAAAAAGCTTCGTAATTGCTCGTCTAGCCATGCGGCCATCTTCACAAGCCCATGAAGAACTTTCAGTGGTCTGACAACTTCGACATGTATATGGCTTCAGCTCGATATTTAGCCAGATATGTCTAACAAGCTTTGCTTGTTTTACACTAATCATAGCTTCTATATCATCTAAACAGGAAGCTTGTAACTTCAGCTGGCGGAAGCTTTCCTTCTCTAGTATAGCCTGCCACTCCTTACAAACGGAAGCGCAGGCGCCCCAACCAGAAGTTTGTCGTGCAATAGTTTGAAGTATCATCTGCCGCAGTTCCCATGGTAGAGAACCCCAAGTCGCTACATGTGGCGGTATAGTGGTATGAGACTTGGAGCCCGGCATCAGAACCGGCTGAATCGGCACCGTCATTTGGGATGTCAAGAAGGTACTAAAGGTTCAGCGGTTAGGCAATGAAAACATTGACTGAATGAAATACGGAAAAGGGAAATACCTCGAGAAGTCAACCTGCCGTAGATAATAAACGAATATGTTATCGAATTTGACGTCTTGACTTGTTTCGTCAAGTTTACGTGTGAAAGTGTGAGATTAAGCAAGTCACTGCTTGTCAGATGCGAGTTTGAATACAGCCCTTGTCAACCTTGATAGTTAGAAACCATCGTATATCAAGGTCGACGAAAAGCTAGAGTTTATAGTTTCTAGGTTACTGTTATGGATAGGCAGAAGAGAATAATTTACGGGGTTCGAAGACTACAGGGTTGCCCAAACACCTTTTAACGGCAGGGCACCACTTACTTCTGTGCATTAATTGTTTATGGACTTTCAAGCAAATGGAACGACATATACAGCAATTATCATGTGGCTTTTGTGGTTGATATTGGCATCTTCGGCCCAAGTCGGCAAGAGATTGGACACGTCCGACCGGCGACGCGGGAACATGGTAGTCGACGTCGTCAGCCTTCATGTCCTCATATGGGTCGCTCTGGCATTAGTTGAAGAGCAAGAAGACCAGGAGTATTGAACTTCCCCCGAATACATCCAAGGTCAGTATAAATTCTCTCAAATGAGCTGTGGTGTCGTCTCACGGCTGCATTCCTGTCGGCACGGATCGGTAGGAGATGGGACGGACCCGACACGGAGAAGCGGGGCCGGTCGGCGGACGGAGGCAGGCCGACCATCGACTGGAATTCACGAATTAAAGGTGACACGAGCCAAGGTCAACTAGTCCCAGCCTTCTTATCATCCGGCCATCCAAGATCCTTCGAATATCTGGTCGTGACAGACTCATCATATCTTACCAGCACCTCCACAGCTAGCTGTTGGACTTGCCAAGGTCATTTACAACCCGTCCGAAGACGCCGCCGCCTCCTCGCCAGCCACAACTACCGTGCCATTCCGCGATGCACAGATCGGCAAACCTTCGCAGCGAATCGCACCGAGGTCTCGATACATCCGGCCAGCTGAATGAATCTTGGCAGCTCGATTCACCTCGTGAGGAGTAACCCTCCACTGAAAACAACCGCCATCATCACTGCAAGAGGAGCGATCTTCCCAAGAGACCTCGTCGCACGGCATCCCACATCTATCACAGTCCGATACGTGCGAAGCACAATCAAGTATCGCGAGATTTATATCCGGCGTCACTCTCCTAACCCATATCTGTCACAGTCAATGTTGTGATGGCTCCCAAACTGGAAGTGTCATGTCAATCCTCCCTTCGGGCACAGGCGCAACTGAGACACGAGGCTAACTCAACCAGTCCTCAAAGGCTCAGCCCATCCTTGCGGGGGAATGTTCGTGGAGACAACTGTACCCCGTATTCCCACTTGTTGGTGTTCCCGTGTGTCCCCGAACCCCAAAAGTGGCAGGCTGTCGTGGCGGTGGTGGTTGTCCCACCGCGGACTGGAATTCGGGATAGATGAGGCACCAAGACAACCCATCTGACCGCATTCCAGACGACAGCCATGTCAATTTCATACATCAACAACCAACGGTCCGTCGTTTTGCAAAGTCAGATGTTCTCTTCCTCCTGGCTGCTCACCCTCTGGTTCTCCCAAGTTCTAAGCCCGTCACACGGTACACGCGTAGACTGTAGACAGCAGACGTCCATACTCGCAAACCTCACCCAAGATACCACACAAGATACCACCCAAACCCTCACTAACAGCCTCACAATGCGCATCAATACCCTCCTCGCCATTCTCGGCACAACAGCCCTCGCCGCCGCAGACGCACCAGCCGTAACACCCTTCCTCACAAAACCAGGATCCCAACCAACGACCCTCGTCCCACAACCATCCTCCTCCTCCGCCATCCCAGCAGTCCCCTTACCACCAGCATCCTCCGCAGCATCTCCCCTCTCTTCCTCGCCGCCATCCCCACCGTCATCAAACTCCTCCTCCTCCGCCGGCGCAGCAACCCTCTCAACAACCACGACATCCCGCCCCGGCGGAACCCGCACGATCTCCCTCGCCCCCGTAAAGACAAACATCTACCAAGAGTGCGGCGGCCTCCGACCCACGCCCAACCCGTGCCCCGCCAGCTTCGAGTGCATCGACGACCCCTTCCGCAAGGGCTGCGGCCTGGCGTGCGATCAGACCGGCATCTGCGTCGTGCCCATCATGTGCGGCGGCATCGCGGCCATCAAGTGCCCCGCGGGCAAGTGGTGCGTTGATGATCCAAGAGATGACTGTCACCCGCTTCAGGGGGGTGCCGACTGTGCTGGGCTTTGCGTTTGATCTTATGGGGACGTGGAAAAGAGAAAGGGACGGAGAGAGAGATGGAATACCTAATCGTTGAAGAGATTGTTGAATTGTCATCTGGATAGGCGTTGTTGGGAGGACTGCTCTTCCGCATGGAACATTTTCTTTGTAATAGTTTGCTTGTTATGAAATAATAGGTTATAATTCATACATACCTTTCACTACTGTGAGTCTCCAGAGGTTCTCGTGAGGAAAAGGTGAAGGAAGGCTCGGTGAGCTCGACGAGGCCCGTGATGCTTTCCCGCAGACCCTCGGTGAGGACGGGAGGAAGTCGAGACCAAACAGGTTGTCAGAGACAAGAGGGAAACACCAAGGTCGACTGCCATCCCTCCAGGTGGTGTCAAGGAAGCCGCCATGTCTCCCAAGGTTTCCTGCCGTCCCGTGTCGACAGAGGGTTTCGCAGACCGTCCATGGACCAGACCTTCCGTCTCGTCAAGAGCATCGAGTCATCTCCGTTGCCCAACTCACCGGCATATCTACTCTCTCGATCTTTATGTTCATTGTTCTCAACCGAGTCAACCATTAGGAACAACGCATCGTCAACATCCCACTTAGTCCATAAGACCAACAGCGAAAATGTGCATCAAAACGATATATCACTACGAGTGCGGTCACACGAAGGACTTCACGCCAGTCTGCAAACGCGCCTTTGACGACTGCCCGTTCGGAATCACCCCAACGAAATGCGCAAACCCCACCCTTGTCGAAAAGACAGTCCGGGACGTCTGTTCTGCCATGGCGTGCAAGTACGAGCAACAGGACAAGCGATGGATCTGCCACGTGTGCGATATGGATAACGAGGACTCCATGACGTGCGAGGGTCAAGATTGTGACCATGGCGTCTGCGCTGAGTGCCTTCCTTGTGAGTACTTCGTAGAGAGGGTATGGGGACGCGAGCTGACTTTTTCCGATAGGGGAGTCTTCCTTGGCGAATATTCCGCACAGAACTCCCGAGGAAATGGAACTGGCGGAGCTTCGAGCCATGGGGCGCGAGCCAGACAAACAATTTCAGTCAACCCTTCAGTCTCCGTTGTCTGTTCCGTCTCAGTCAACTGTCGAGACTTTGTCAACTCAGTTGACTGCTCCAACTCAACTGACCACACCGACCCAACTGACTGAGCCAACCCAGTTGGCTGAGCCCGCCAAACGCTCCGAGAACATAAAACCGCCAAGGTTCCGCTGCAAAGGTTGCTCCGTCTGCATAGTCCCGGACGCGCCATCGAGACCGCGACGACCCAAATCAAAGACGCCGCAGCCCAAACCTCCCAAGGTCCCGGTCTACGACTCCGGGGCGGGAGGCTGGGTCCAACGGCCTGACAGAAGAGTTAGGATAAGCCTTAGAAGGGAAGACACAAGTACCATGGGAGTCGGTGGAAGGCAGTCAAAGCTATTGGAAATGGTCGAGGAACTAAATGGTCAAAAAAACTAGATTAGACGAGGCTAGGCAAAAAGGCCAGCCTCTCTGTTCGCGTCTAGGGAAGGTTTCTCTCAAAAGTCTATCGGTCATGGCTCTATAGCGGTAGTAAAGTAAATACGCAAAAGAAGAAAGAGAACACAAGTAGCAGTCAATCAAACGGTTTATTTACCGCCTGAGAAAGACACGACGGCCCACTTGCCGCTCCAAGCCCACTTCCGTGAGCCAGAATCGCCGCCGCCGCCTTCGGTGGCGAGCAGCTTCTCGTCCTCGCCAGGCTGGAGGCCGACGACAACATCGGCCTTGCACGTGCGGAGGGCCAGGATGTTGAGGCCGGATCCGGGGCCGAGGTTCTTGAGGGCTTCCGTGAAGGGTGTGGCAGCATCCCAGTTGGCCTAGTTGTCATTAGCATCATAGCCACTTTGTTAAGTAGAATGTGGAACTCACATCACCAGTCAGCTTGCGGTAGTTGAGATCACCCTTGAAGATGACAACTTCGCTGGCCTTGAGGTCCTCGTACAGCTCCTTGGCCTCCTCGGGCAATTGCCAAAAGGGGCCGGGGTGCGTCCAGTAGCGGTTGGGCCGGAGGATGAGCTGTCCCTCGGCGTGGAACTGGCTCCACTCCTGGAAGAGGAAAGCCAGGCTCTCCGAGTCCGCAGCCGAAAGAGGCTCGGGGGTCTTGCCTTGGAGCTCCTCCTCTTCGGAGGGTGTCTCGTAGAAGCGCTTAGGGCTGGCAATGGCGCTGAGGAGCTGGGCAAAGTCACCCGGGAGCACGTCGGATACGAACCAGGGGATGGACTTGGGGTGCAGGACGACGTTGGTGGCCAGGCCGGCAGACAAAAGGTACCCGGCGAGGATGAGGTCGACGTAGAGCTCGAAACCGGCGTTGTCGAGCACAATGTCGACGCGGCGCTCAGCCTTGCCCTCGGCCTTGGCCTTCTTCAGGAGCTCGTAGACGGCGGGGAGATCGTTGACGACAATGTTCTTCTCGGACGCCTTGCGGGCCTCGGAGCCCTGCAGCTTCTGGATATCTTCGTAGGTCAAGCTCGTCAGGAGGGAGAGGTCGGTGGCGTTACCCCAGAGGCAGATTTCGCACATTTCGGTGAAGAGCAGCTTCTCGGCGGCCTCGTCCTGGGCGGCACCCTTGTTCTTGTGAAGCTGCTCGACTAGCTCCTTGTACTTTGACGCCAGCTCGATCACGGCGGGGCGGGAGGATCTGAATGTGCTCATCTTTTGGCGGGCAAAGACGTCGTAGTTCTTCCAGTGGGTGGACCGGGCAAAGTGCGTGCTGATGCGTCTGTTGCTGTTAGCACGTGTTTGCCAAGTGGTTTGCCATATGTAGCTTACCTGAAGAGGTAGCACTCGGTGTAAAGCCACGGCACGTTCAGCCATGTGGGAGAGCCAAGCTTCTTGAGCTCCTCGTTGTAGATGCTCACGTCGGGGTATCCATCGTCTTCGATCGGTCTGGTATGGAGAGTATAGTCAGCAACTATCGTACTGGAGGTGTCGATGGAGAGCCGTACGTCAAAGCGCGGTCGTGCTGAACCTCGTATTTGATCTTGGCAATCTCCTCAATGATCTTCTTGCCCTCGGCTTCCTTCTCGGCGTCCTTGGTCTGGGTGACGGATCGGTAGAGGTCGTCGATGGCTTGGGTCTGTGACGAGGCTGTCAGCAAGACGTGAATTGTCAACAAGGATGCCAAATACACACAATAATGACGGGCCAGCGCTCGCGAGCAGTGACCCAGCCAAAGGAGGTCTTGTCGCCGGTCGAGTAGGGAGCTGTCAATTGCATGGTGATTAGCTTGGTGCGAGGTTTGTGGTGATGTCTGGAGGCACCAATGGCGGGGAACCATACCAGGCATCTTGGATCTGAAGAAGGAATTGGGTATCGAGAGAGTCCAGCAGAGGTTGACCAGAAAGAAGATGCAATTCAGAGGGACTCAGAGAAAGATAGGGGAAAGCAGCGAGATTATCAGGTTATCTCGAGAGATTTCGTTTGCGACGACGTGTCTCATCTTTTTTGGGTGCCAAAACGCCGACCGCCGAGTTTCTGTGACAAAACGGCAGCAGCTCCCCGCCATGGTGGGGCAGGGGCTACGTGCACGGTTCTTTCCTTCCAGGTTAGCGCGGGGCACGTCCCCGATACAGAAATATCGAGCGAAATGACGTAAGCCCCTGGTTTCGGATAAACGTATTCATCTATCCATATCAGTCACTTAAAGGCAGCTGATTGCTCATCTCATCACATCCAGCTCCTGTTCACTCATCACCGTTCATTCTCATCTCTCATCTCACAAATCTTACCATCACCATGACCATTTGTTCATCATGTTCGGCTATATTGCTTACAGCATCCAAGTGAAATACTGTAAACTTCCCGTACAAACTCAAACTCTCCCTAGAATAGACATGGCAGGTGCCACGGCACGTGCCGCCCCTCGGTTCGCCCCCGTCGAGAATTGTCGCGTCCGTTTCAGTCCTTGGTTCCAGACTCTTCAAAATGGGCCTTGTACGCGCCATCATAAGAGCTTATACATTTACTCAAGTCGACTTATGATTCAGGTTATAGAAAACTTACTATAGTCCGCAATGACGGTCAATATGTAAGGGCGCACGATGGCCTCCTGCGAATTGGTCTAGCACCAATACATTGGTGGAAAAGGCGACAGTCTCATGAATTTGACTAGAATGAGTAAAAGAATCCATGATCTTTTTGGTGTTTTGTTTGAAAGGTATAATGTGCACACCTTGACTTTGTACGTTGATTGCACTGCGGTAACCAGGCTCAACAGCCGAGCCTAGAGGTGGGATCATTCAGTCAGTGACATATCGGAGATGATAGCTTTACCAGCGTCAAGAGTCTCAGTTCCCCCAATACAACTTCGCCCTCTCAACGTATTTCTTTTTCACGCTGCCTAGATTTGCATGTCACGGAAGGACATCAATCAAGCGTCATAGACTCCAATGATAAAGCCAATTGCGGTTGTCTTTCGACATCTCAAGTTGTGAAAGTAGCAGACCAAGTTTGCGGGGCGCTCCAAGGCGTCTACTATCACTGGCTTTGGAATGAGAGATCCGATGAGAAATAAAGCTATAAGAAAAGCTAGATCGTGTAATACTCATGTTCGCCAAATGCCATCATTGGTCGGCTGTGATGCTTGAATGTTGTCAAGTTGTCAACTAATCAATTACACCAAACCCCACAGAACCCCAGAACCCCAGAATTACCCCGGCCTCTCCGGACGTCTCTCCAGCCTCAGAGGGAATATTGCGGGGGGAACACGCCTCGCGCTCCCTTCCACATGGGCTCTTAATTCATGCATGTCTATGCTGCATGTTGCGTCTGGAGCCAAGTCTTGCGTGTCTGTCACTGCGGGACTACCCGCCTTCGAAGGTTACCTTGCATGAGCAATGTCTCGAACCACCTTCATCTCAACTGCCGTCGATGGGCCCTGGGAGTCACAGATACTCATCCTTCGGGGGGCTAATGACCCAGCATTGCGGTTCTCCCACGTGTCAAACGCACTTCGGATGGCTGCCGATCTACACGTCCACTCTAT